GCTACATACATAGGTAGTGAACTGCCAAAACATCACCTGAAGTTCCAGTGTTAACATTAATGACGTGAAACCTTACAGAATCAACGTTTAGTTTCCCTAACACTGAGTGTGCCTAGTAGCTACACTGCATGTGGAATAAACACCACCAGTGCTTTTTTTCCCTGGGGGGATGCAGGGGTACGCATACCCCTAAACATTTTGTGAATCTAAGTTTGGCCTCATTGAGGGGCAGTATTTCAATATGAGTAGGAAAATGAGAGTACCCCAAACATTATTTTTGGAAAAAAGTATTGAACACCACCATATACACAGTAGGGCCTGCTATGTTCAATAAAAGGGGCTTATTAAAAATGAGTGCCTATCTTTAAAAACCTTCCTTCCTTTTAGAAGAGTGTGTTCCTCTCATTAATTCATGATTAAAAGTCTCCATAAATAGTGATATGAACAGATAGCATTAACATTAGATAAAAAGCAAATCTGTTCCAAACACAGTGTAATATTTAAAGTCAATTCTATATTTTTTTTTAAAAAAACCACACTTTGTCAATTTTGTAATGTAATGGACAACATAAATAACTCTAAAGCACATCTGCTTACATGACCGGTCATTTCCTACACATTCTGTTCTTCAAATTTCTCTTTTCACTCCCTTTCTTTCATCAAAATCTAGGCTGGAAAAAGTGTACACTGTGATCCAAACCATCACAAATTCTGACCGTTGTTACTGCCTAATTTTAACAGGGCAATTGTGAAAATTTCAACAACAAAAACGGTTTATCTAGAGCAAAATGTTATTCTGAAAACATCACATATTTTTTGTTTAGTCACTTATCACTTCTGGAACAAGACTAACGTTGGATAGGATTTAAAGCTAGCCACTTTCCAAATTAGCAGGTAGATGTCAGAAAATACTGGGAAAGCAAGAATGACTGCACCATGGAAAGGTCATGTAAACTAGTTGAAGTAGCTAAATGCATCAGTTTCCAGAATTATTAAAATGCTAGCCAAAGCCACAATAAAGGTTCCAAAGCTTTTAATAAGGCATACAATCTGCTGAGCAATTGCTGCAAAATGCACCCGGTATATATCCAGTGTGACTCAACGTCACACCAACGGATTTCTGCTTACACAATGGGATTTCTCCTCCCTCTTGTGCACACACACCCAAATTTACTCTGGAAGCTCCCCCAACATTCTAGAACATTTTGAGAACACAAAGCGGGCTTTAGGAGGAAAGAGAGAGCAGAATAGTCCCATCAAACAATCAGAAGTGTGTTTCACTAGCAGACTGACACAACTGGATTTCACCGTATTGCTGATAAATTAATACCCAAATCAAACAGAGAGAAGGCGAGAAGGAAATAAACTAGGGACTATTCTGGAAACATTTAGAGCTTTCCAAACTGTGCGTTGTGACATATTAGTGTGTTGGCTACAGTTTGTAGGTGTGTCACGTGAACGCTCCCCGTGCTCCGCCTAGGGCTGGAAAGGGGTTAATAAAACTGAATTACCATGTCACGAAATGAAGTATGTTTAAGAATTGTGTCACCAACATGAAAAGTTTGGAAAGATCTGATTTAGATATTCCTTCCTGCATGCCATCAGGGAATGAGAATGTTACAAAAGCCATCCTATTAGTTGTAAAGAAAAACAAGTTGTAGCAGCTTTCAGCATGAAGATGGACAGGCCTGGTAGTGCACTGAAAATGTTTTTGCCCAATATTAAAAATGTGAAGATCAGCACAGTAGCGGGGGGGGGGGGATTTGGTAAGAAATTACACCTAATAAGAGGAGAGATACATATTTTCACTGCTGTAAGAGATTAACCATCCCAGTTTGAGCCTGTACCTTGGGCATGCACAATGCTAACTCTCTTTTCCAGAACTTGTGAAGAGTTTGGAAACATCTGCTTCAATCTTTGATTGACCACAGCTTGCTGTTTCATCTGAACACAACAAACTGTTAGTCTTAACAGTGGTTCTTTTCAAAGAAGCACACTTGGAACAGTAGGTTATGGAGTGGGCTTATTTCAACAAGCCACAGTTAAGATTAGCCACAGTTTAGGATTTGGATGCAACGCTGAACTGTTGTTAACAGAAAGGAGTGAAAACCTCTGAACTCTTCAGGGCTCACTGGAGGACAAATGACGAGGGGAGAATGTGTGAACCCAAGGTTGGCCTAGGATCATTGCCATGGCTTGCAGCCATTATTTTTCAAAGGCTAACATCTTGGGCAGAAAACAAGCCATGGGAAACTTGACACATGTATAGCTCAAACATATAAAACCTTAGTTTGAAATAAGAATTTACTCCATATTTATGGTAATTAATCACAAAATAAATGGTTCTCTGGGCAGCTCACAAATAAAGCATGCAAATGTAAGTAAATACACAATATCATACCATAACATTTACATAAAAACAGAGAAAGAATAAAAACATCCTACCCAAAATCTGCAGCAGTGGTTCAGAACATTAAAAATAGGATTTTTTTTTTAATGCCTGAGAGCTTTCAAAAAGTCTTTAACTGAGGCCAACTGAGACCATAAAGTTGGTGCCAACCAACCCTCTCTGGAGAGGGAATAGCATGGCCTGGATGCAACCACTGAGACGTCTTTGTCTCTGGTACCCATCCCCTTCTTTTTATTTGGTGCAGGTACTCGGAGCAGGGCCTCTGAAGCTCATATGGTACAGGCATGTAGAAGAAGACAGTGTTTCAGGTATCCTGGTCCCAAGGTGTTAGTTAAATCACTGGTCTTGCTTTTTTAAAGCCCTTAAAACCTTGGGACCAGGAAACCTGAAAAACTGTCTTCTGAAGTCACACTTAGGTATTTGCTTCCCAGCAAAATCAAAAGACTTCTGAAAATTAGGAAATGTTCACATTAGCAATTGACAATAAAGCTCAAATATCTGAAATATACTTAATATTATAACTCAGTACCAACAGGTACACAGACTACCCTTCCTCCTGTTATAAATTGTGTTATAAATTACAGGGTGTTCAAAGCAGGAGCTGAGAGTGCATCATATGAAAGACACACTTCAGGAAGGATTTCAAATTCCATATTGGAGCAATACCTTTTTTAGGCCAAGCAAAAAGTCACAGAATAGTGTGCAAGTTACAGAACTTGTCATCAGGCTAAATCAGCCTTCCCCAACCTGGTGCCCTTCAGATACTTTGGATTACCATCATTCAGCCTCATCAGAATGGGGCTGTGTTGCGCTGGCTGGGACAGATGTGAACTGTAGTCTAAAGCATCTGAAGGGCACTGGGCTGAGGAAGGCTGGGCTATATGGTAAACAAAGTAAGGGAATGGGAAGAATAAAGTTGGCTGGTGGCTGCTGTTGACATCAGTCTGTCTCGAGAGACAATAGAATGCGCCTCTGGGAGTGAAATCAAGTTGCTACGTTAGCAGCGCAAGCCTGGGCAGTGTCCTGGGCTGCCCAGATTACAAAACCTCCCTCTCAGCCTTGCTGATGTGGTCCAGAGGAAAGCAGAGCAATAACATTTGCCACCAAGGAGGTGTATAAGGCACCATCCAGCCATCTTAGGGACTCCACTCCGGATTTCTGTAGGGTTTACTCCTTGGCCTTTGCTATTCCCAATGATCTCCCCCAAAACAGAGGTTTAGGATCAGAGTTTTCCTTCTCCTAGATGGGCTACCTTCCCAGGTTGACAAGCGCCATTTGCCCCTCACTTCCCTCTACAGCATGTGCAGAACCTGCCTTCTTGACCATTGGACCCACTATTGGTCTCTTCCACTCAATCCGCCCATCAGCCATCTTCACCTAGTTTAGCCAGCTAATCAAAGCCATTCCCAGGGTATGACTGCTGTTTCATGCTGGCAGCTGCTAGGAGACACAGGTGAGAACTGAGTGCAGAGTGGGGACCAAATGTGGACAAACTATCCCAGAAGGAGCACAACATGTTCCCCACCAGAGGTACTATGCCTCCCCTAACACTCCATACACCCTGGCGAGTGATAAATAAACAATAGATACTTTATAATGAAGTTACCAGTGTGTACTTTGAGCAAATCTCCAGCTTTTGGAAGGTAACCTGTATTAGAATGATAAACTGTGATAAGGAAAGCTTTTTAAAAAAAATAAAAATAAACAGCAATAACACACTTTAGGAATTGTCCTGAAACGAACTTTTATATTCAGCAGATAACAGCTATGCTAAGAATGGGGCTTCTGCTACCAAAATGCCCATTACACAAGTGTGCTGTTACAACTGGATATCACTCATTGTTTCCATCAGAACAGCCAGATCGTCATCATAGTTCTGAGCTCTATTTGGAGTTATAATCCTAAAAAAACATACTAACCTTCACTGGCTAATGTTCCACAGCCCTCGAGGTTTAAGAGGATGTTGTCATCTTTGTCGTCTCTGGCACCTCCCAGCAGCATCCAGCTCTCTACATTATCACTTTCAGAGGCAATGCTTCTCACATCATCTGCATTCTCATCACTAGAGCTGTCCTCTATTACTAAGATCTTGTGGATCATGCGAACACCTTCACGATGAAAGGAGATAGACTTTTCACTAGTCCTTTTCTCCTTTTTTGAAATTCCTGTGCTCCATCCCTTTGAATTTGGAGTAATCTGAGAAGAATGTCTAGTGGGCTTTGGCGAGGTGAGCTCTGCAAGATTGTGTGTTCTTCCTGGCACTGGAGCTCCTGGTGTTGTTCGCTTCTGGAGTCTGCTTCTGTAAATGCTGTCTTCAGTGTCTGACAAGGTGATAACATCTGGACTATCAGAAACATGAGTGGCTTCACTGTCTGAAATTATAATAAAGTTGTTGTTTTTTTGCTCTTTACTAACTGAACTCTGCTTTTGCCCAGATCCATGTTCTTCAGTTTCTTCTTCTCCAATGGCATCCTCATGGCCTTGTGCATAATGGACTTGGCTATAAAGGTGAAATTCTACTTCGCTATCAATACTTTCTTCACTAGAAGACTCTTCACAGTAGAGATCATCTTCAAATGCTTCTATATCATCATATCCACCAATCATTGTGGAAAGTATTTTGCATCTAGCAAAAGAAACAAGACAAACCAAAATAATGAATGATGCTAATCAATACCAAATGAAGATTTCATTTACACGCAAGTACCAACTTTTAAAATGCACAAAACCTCAGGCCAACCACTTTAACAGTGCAATCCTATGCATGTTTTAAGGAGTTTACTGGAGTCCAATCAATCTCCCTCCAAACTACTTTCAATTTTATACCAGAGTCACCTCCAACTCATCTCAATTAGATTTTACAAAAGCTGTTTTAAAAGCAGTTGAAAGAACTCTTCCTTCAGAAATGGAAGAATTTCACCATCCAATAATGAACCATTAACAACCCTGGCCACAGGTCTACTCAGCTGCAACTGACAGGTTTCACTAGCTAAGATGAACAACATCCTCAAGGTAGAACAGATCAGAATTATCCTAGCTACTGCACCAAGAGAACTGTAGTCCAACACTGCCAATTTCAATTCTGCCCCTATGGCTGTGTCCAAGTCGGACCAATGTCAGCAAGTTTATCAGCAAATAATATGGCCAATACATTGCAGTGATCAGCCTCTGGTTCACCTTAGGGTTAGACCCTCACCACCTGGAAGAACACAAATGGACATAATTTCACTGAAGCAAAGGAGGGAGAAAAAGAGAAACACTACCTCTTTGTTGCCATCACAACACAGGTCTGCAATTGGACACTATGAAATGGTTGGTTAGATTCAACACAGTCTTTCCAGTATTGGCATTCAAGCCACCTCCATATACTTCAAGTTCCCTGGCTCCTCATTAAAACAGGAGCTGGGGTCCAATGAAATGCACAGCATCAGGGAGCATCTCTGCCTATAGCACCAGCAAACCCATTTCACATCCTGCTAGTGCAACAAGAGAGGCATCAATGGTACCACCTAAGTACCCCAAATCATTCTGGAAACCAAGTGGATCCCTAAGTCTCCAAGGCCAAAACCTTTCAAACTAGTCTCTCACCTTTTCTTTCATTCCGAATACCTGATGGGTCCCTCAAGAATACAGAAACCACTACATTTTCTGCAGGTGGTCACAACGTTTGGTACTATTAGGCAAGATTGTTCTTTGACACTAGCCACTCACAGCCAAGTCACATGAAACATTTGGTACTCATTCAACTATGGATAAATTGAGTACAAAAGTGTACGTATCACGTTTATGAAGGCTGTGTGCTTATACAAGGCATAGCATCTCGCTTTTAAATACATACTGGCCTCTTTTTTATTAAAAAAAAAAATGAGAGTATGTACACAGGTGACACAAAGGTCCTCTGTGGCTGGCAAACAGTCATCCAGGGATGATGCACACTGCCAGCCCCAGATTTAAAGAGTCAGAACAAGTTATTTAGGCACACAACCAGGCATCCTTACACTTTGCTAGATATAGGCTTGCAAAGGGGTAAATGCTACTTGCCACAGGAAAGTGGCACACTGACTAGTCTGAATGCTCTGTCTTCCTCCAAGGGTAAGAAGGGAACTAGAGGTAGCTAGCCCAGGGAATAAAGAAATGGCTACTACAAGACATATGGGTTGGTGATCAACAAAGTTGCTTTTCTTCCACTTACTTCTAAAAGATGCAGTTCAATTGCCAACATGATAAATTCAGAAGGGGGTGGGGGCTATTGGATTGTTTTTATTTCGATTATGTATTTTATGGTTTTATATTTTGATTTTACTCTGTGAACCGCCCTGAGACCTCCGGGTATAGGGCGGTATATAAATTCAATAAATAAAATAAATAAATAAGATTCAAACCAACAGAACCCAGATGATGTGTAGCTGGCAGTAACCCAAAGATATCACAAAATATTCATGCTTACTTCACCACCATGTTTGCAGTCAGTGAAAATATCAAAAGAATTTCCACAGAAACTGATTTTTTACAATAAAAGTAGTAAATATAAATGCATAGAGCTGGGAAGAATGGTGAAATATTAAATGATAGCACCATAATTTCAGCTGTGTGGCAATACTTCAGCGTGTAAGCCTGCAGACAGGGCCTGTTCTCCCTTTTCACTTTGTGTAGATCTGAGGCACTTGACAAAAAATTATTGGCTGGGCATTTTTATAACATCACTCATACCCCCTAATAGAAAGCACTTTTCTCATTCCATAGCAAACAAAATCCATAAACTGACACAACATTAGTAAGCCACGGACCACTTTCATATCTTAAGTAAAGCTAACAGGCCCTGGCATGGTAACAGTAGAAGCCTTGAAGTTAAAAGAACACAATGCATGCTGTGAGGGGCTTAATTTTCCACACTTTGAGCTCATTCATACGAGCCTTAGACTGGGGGGATATTTCTCACAGGAAATAACTTAATAACCACCCCTTCATACAAAGCAGACGATGAAGGGGTGGTTGTTGACTCAAGGCTATCAAGTCAAGCCATATTGCCATGCTACACAGATGCAACACAACATCTGTGAACCAATGTAAGATGGAGACAAGGAATTACCTGCGATAGGGCATACTATTTAAAGAGTTCCCCGGCTCCTCATTAAAGCACAAGAATAGGGTTTTTAAGAACAGAGAAGATTTACACTCAGAGAAAAATATGAAGAAGTCTGATGCCTAGAGAAAATCTTGGCACATACTGGGGGAAAGCAATCTGTGTTTCACTTGCCAGTCACAACTCACAAGTCACAAACAGTACATAGGAACATAGACCAGCGATATGACATGGGATAAGGCTATCTAGCTAATCTAGCTATCTACACTGACTGGTAGTAGATCTTCAGCATTTCAGCGGGGGGGGGGGGGGGTTCTTTCAGAATCCTACCTGAAGAAGCCAGGAAAGTGCCTGGGGCTATAACCTTCTTACAGACAAGTAAATGGGAAATTTTTCCTAGACAAACTTCTTTTAGTGGCATTTAATCAAGCTGTTTCTGTTCCACTCTATTCTATTTTGTGAAAGATCTCAGGGTGGCTAACAATCAAACTGTGAGGAAATAAAATGTTATTATCAATAGAATCACAAAAATACATAAAAATCAAAATATAGAAGCCATCTCTCAGCTGAACATCAGTAACAATTGCCAAAGGAAATGTAAGAAACAAATTACTGGGCTGCCAGTTGAATGTTAATATTGCAGGCACCAACCAGGTTTCAGGGAGGCAAGAAGTTCCAGGTGAAAATAGCAATATTTTTAAGGAACAAAAAGCAACAGCAAGTGCATTAGATTGAAATGTTTGCCAAAGCCTGCTTTAACTATATCCACCATTAATTACCAGCTTTTCAACTCTGTATTTAACAGTAAAACAATTAAAATGATGTCACCATGTCTGTAATTATAATATAGTCTGATCACAATAAGCTCTTGTTTTTCTCCAGGGACCTGGTAAATGGTTGGACTAACTGCAATAGGCCAAGCTAAAAAGCAATAACCCTATCTGAGAGATGCAAAGGACCTGAGGTGGGAGGGAAACCGGAAAAACCGAGAGAAAACTCATGATTCAAAATTTGTCTGGGCTTTTTATTTTTGAGAACAAATTAGAGGAGAAACAGAAAAATTGGGGCATCCCCCCATTTTTCCATTGTTTCCTACCACCCCGGGCCTTCCCACCTCCAGTTGAAAGATGGACAAAATCTGAATCTTATTACAATGACAAATTGTATTTTTCTTTAAAAAACAAACAAACCCAAAGAATCCAGCACCAACCTGTTGGCCAAATTTATATGCCATGGTAATCCATGAACTGCGGCTTGCTGTGAACAGTGAACTACTGCATCCTACAGAATCACTCTCATTTTGCACCTCTCTTCATTAAGTAAGGACCAACAAATCATGAAGCCTTGACTTAGTGTGACATGGTAACTAGCATCAGTTGTTTGTTTCTGATGTTCAGCCAAGGCTTGTTCTTGGTTCACCAAACAGTTTGGAAGGAGCAAACCAGGATCACTGGTTCACACATAAAGGAAAGGTTCATGTTTTGTTGCTCCCAGCAAAACAAGATGAGGGCAAAATGGGAGCTATTCAGCAGTACAGTGGTACCCCGGGTTACATATGCTTCAGGTTACAGACTCCGCTAACCCAGAAATTGTACCTCGGGTTAAGAACTTTGCTTCAGGATGAGAACAGAAACCATGCTCTGGTGGCGCGGCGGCAGTGGGAGGCCCCATTAGCTAAAGTGGTGCTTCAGGTTAAGAACAGTTTCAGGTTAAAAACGGACCTCCGGAACAAATTACCGTATTTTTTGCTCTATATGACTCACTTTTTCCCTCCTAAGAAGTAAGGGGAAATGTGTGTGCGTCTTATGGAGCGAGTGCAGGCTGTGCAGCTATCCCAGAAGCCAGAACAGCAAGAGCGGTTGCTGCTTTCACTGCGCAGCGATCCCTCTTGCTGTTCTGGCTTCTGAGATTCAGAATATTTTTTTTCTTGTTTTCCTCCTCCAAAAACTAGGTGCGTCTTGTGGTCTGGTGTGTCTTATAGAGCGAAAAATATGGTAAGTACTTAACCCGAGGTACCACTGTATTCATTTGTACACTGCTCACTCATGGTAAGCCATACCACCATTCAGCCAATGTATTGTGACATACTTTTCATAAACAAGACTCTACTAAGTTAATTCCCACCAATGACAGACTTCAGCAAATCACTTTTTCTCATTCACCCTACAACATGGGGATAATAATACTGGCTCACCTAGCAGGGCTACTGTAGGGATTATTATTGTGCACGAAGCACTATGAATCTTTGAAATACGCTATATAAAAGTGTTATTCTGTGGGTTTTATAACAGGAGGACAAAATGGAACACAAACTTTGGCAAAAGAAATGCCAACGGGATGCTAAAAGATAATTTGAGAAGCACAATGCTATAAACAAACACCACCAACAAAAACTCTTCAAATACATTTGTAGCAGGAGACCAGCTAGAGAGGCAGCTGGACTTTTGGATGATAAGAGAATCAAATGTGTACTGAAGAAGATTACAGAGAAGCTGAATGAATTTGTTGCATCTGTCTCTGCAGCAGAATATATAGGGCAGAACTGTGTACCTGAACTAATATTCACAGGATAGGAGTCTGAGGAACTGAGGAAGAAAGGGGTGGTAAGAGATGACGTTCTCTAGGCCTAACAGAAAAAAATAAAAACTGACAAATTGCCATATGACATCCACCTGAGAGTTCTCAGAGAACTCAAATGTGAAATTGCTGGTCTTCTAACAAAAATATGTAACCTTTCCCCAAGATCATCCTCCATACCTGATGACTGGAAAGCAGCCAATGCAACATCAATTTTGAAAAACAGATTCAAGCGGGATTCTGAAAATTAAAGGCTAGTTAGCTTAATGTTTGTTCTGAGGAAACTGGTAGAATTAACAAGCATACAGTACAGAAGAACAAGTCTTCCTGAACCAGAACCAGAATGGCTTCAGCAAGGGCAAGTCCGGTGTCATTAAACTTTTAGACTCGAGAATGTCAACAAGCATATAGATAGAGGTGATCCAATTGACACAGCTTACTTAAAACTTTCCAAAAGCTTTTGACAAAGATCTTACTGTGGATCAGTAACTGCTTAAGAAACAGGAAACAGAATGTGGGACTGGACAGTTCTCCAAATAAAGAGATAGAATGTGTTCCCCAAAGATCAGTACTGGGATGTGTTTTTAGCATCTTCATAAATTACTTAAGAGCTAGGGGTGAACAACGAAGTAGCCAAGTCACCAAATTGTCCAGGGGGTTAAAACAAAACAGGATTGTGAAACGTTCCAGAAGGTTCTCTCCAAACTGAGTGAACAGAGAGTAAGATGGCAAATGTAATTCAGTGTAAGTTGGTGTAAAGGGATGAATGACGGTGGGGGGACGACACACACCTTAATTTCTAATATATACTCATGTGCTCTAAATTAGCAGTGACTGATCAGGAATGAGATATTGTGATTGTAGTGGATAGTTCAATGAAGTCGACTCAGTCTCAGCAGATGGCAGCTATGAAAAGGGAGAATTCCATGCTAGGGTTCATTGGGAATGGAACTGAAAATAAAACTGCTGGTATCATAATACCATTACACAAATCTATGGCATGAGCATATTTTGAATACTGTGTAAAGTTCTGGTTGCCTCCCCCTAAAAAGAAAATTGTGGGGTTTGAAAAGTTCAGAAAAGGACAACCAAAGTGATCAATGGGTCAGAGCAACTCCCCTTGAATTGAGGAAACAACATTTTGGACTTTCTAATTTACAGAAAAGGCAAGTAAGAAGCCATTTGATAGAGGTGTATACAATTGTGAACAGTGTTGAAAAATGGAGAGTGATTCCCCCCCCCTTCACATAATACTTGAACTTGGGGACACTCAATGAAGCTTAATTCAGGAAGATTCAGGTTACACAATAGAAAGTACATATCCACACAGTGTACAGTGGTACCTCGCAAGATGAATGCCTCGCAAGACGAAAAACTCGCAAGACGAAAGAGTTTTTCGTTTTTTGAGTTGCTTCGCAAGACGAATTTCCCTATGGGCTTGCTTCGCAAGACGAAAAACGAAAACGTCTTGCAAGTTTGTTTCCTTTTCTTAAAACCGTTAATACCCAGGGTGCATTGCTTGAAGAGGTGCAGTTGCGACTTGACTTCGAGGAGCAACTCATAGCACGCGGTGTGGTAGCCTTTTTTGAGGTTTTTGAAGACTTTGGTGTTTTTGAAGACTTTGGGAAACCGTGCTTCGCAAGACGAAAAATTCGCAAGACGAAAAAACTCGCAGAACGAATTAATTTCGTCTTGCGAGGCACCACTGTATAGTTAAATTATGGCATTTGCTTCAATAAGATATAGTTGTGGCCACCATGGCTTTTTAAATGAATGGGTGTAAATGAGGATTAGACAAATTCCAGGAGGATCGAGCTATCAAATGGCTACAAACCACAATGGCTGAGTTTCTACCCTCCACTATCAGAGGCAGTGAACCTCCAAATACCAGTGGTATACAAGTGTGGATAGTACTGTTGTGCTCATGTCCTACTTCTTGGCTTTTCATAGGAATCTGGTTTCTAAGTGCAATGAGCACTGTGGTTGAGGTTACTCGGCTCTTCTTATATTTTGTACATCCATATAATACCTAGCACTAGCACAGTTCAAACATCTTGGTTACAGAAAGCCTGGCCAATAACGAATGTGCCATGTGTTCAAGAGACCAAAATATGTCTGTACGCTGGTACCTCGGGTTGCATACGCTTCAGGTTACAGATTCTGCTAACCCAGAAATATTACCTCGGGTTAAGAACTTTGCTTCAGGATGAGAAGAGAACTCATGCTCCGGCGGCATGGCGGCAGCAGGAGGCCCCATTAGCTAAAGTGGTGCTTCAGGTTAAGAACAGTTTCAGGTTAAGAACGGACCTCTGGAATGCATTAAGTACTTAACCCGAGGTACCACTGTACTCCTAAACTATTTCAGTACTCCTAATTTCATAAACACTTCATATATGTCTCTGTAGAACTAAGTATCCTCAAGCACAGGCAAAACTAGGCTTTATTTCACCCGGACCAAAGACCGTGTTTGGCACACACACACCCAACACACATTTGGCGCCCCTATGGAGGCTTCACCCAGGGCAAGAAACTTGGCTAGCCCCCACCCCCTCCGTAGCTACAGCCCTGCCTCATGGCACTATTCCCTGCTCCCCTTCCCCAAGTTCTGTTGCCAACTGCGCTGTGTTGGAAGAGAGGGGGTGGCCAACACAATCTTTCCACACTTTGAAGCTGAACAGGACCGCAAATAGTTTTTCTCAAGCATCCCAACATTCCAGGCGCTGTCGCCCTCAGAGCATGTGAAAAATACATTTTCTCTGAACAGAACAAAGCTTCAACTCGCAACAGGCGAACAAGACCTAACAAATGCTGCGATATGGTATCCCTCCCTACAGCCTCTCACAAACTTGGGTCCCCAGGTGTTGTGGCTGGGACTACAACTCCCATCAACCCTTGCGAGCAGGAGCAGCGGTCGGGGAGGATGGGACTTGTAGTCCAACAACATCTGGTTGGACCCAAGTTTGAGGGAGGCTGCGGCTCATCAATGCTTTGACCTCCTGACGGGAAGCAGGAGGGAGAGGCTAAGGACGCCGACGCCTTCGAGCATGAGCAGAGTGCTCCCCACCCCTCACAGAGAACCATCCTTGACAAAAGTAAAAACGTAAGAAAACACCCGCCCACCCGAGCGTTATTCCCGCCAGAAGGATGAAATTTGGGCAACCTGAGGAGAGGAGAGTTGGGTAAGGTCGGCGCGGGGGTGAGGGAAAAGCGGGCGCGCCAACAGCTGGCCGGGCCGGGCCGGGGGGTCAAGGCCGCCTAGTCCTCGAGCTCGCTCCCTCGCGCACGTTACTCACTAGCGCTGCCTGCTGCGACCAGGAAGCCCCTCGCGACCGGAACAGGCGCCTCCAACGACCTCCTCCTCCCGCCCCTCGCGTCGGGCTGCGCTTCCGCCCGTTGAGGCAAAGAAGGGGGGCGGGACGCTCATGGCCGCGCCTGCGCGTCGGCTTGCCACGGAGGCCAGAGCGCAGGCGCGCTTGGTGCCCCGTCTCTCTCACACGCGCGCACACAAACCCGGCGGGTCATTGGCTTGAGGCCGCGGGCGGGGTGGGTGGGAGGGCGGAGGTGGCGGCGCTCTTGTCTGTGAAAGGGAGCGGCCGAAGCAGAAGGGCTGGGCGGCTTGGCGGTGAAAAAGAGGGGTCGGGCTGCGCCGGGGATCGTGAAGAGGGGCGGGAAGGGAGCGCTTGGGGGTTTGGAGCGAGGCCAGAGTTGTCGCTTTAAGAAAATCTCCTCTTAGCGCCTGTGCCTGTGCTTCATGCAAGGTGGCAAGGTGCCTCAGGCAGCAGGATCCAAGGGGGCAGCAGATCCCAATCTTCCTGAGAGGAGGGACTTCAGCAGATCACATTTTGGCTTGCTTCACCTACAGCCATCTGCCTTTTATAAACCGAGTATTAGTAGCATCCCAAGTGACACAGGATTAGTGGAAACTAGTTGTTTTTTATTGGTGTTTTTTTTAAAAAAAATAAAGGAATAAAAGGAATAAGTATGGGGAAAACAGACATAAGTTGTAGGTTGGTTTAAAGGTAGAGTTTGGGGCTGATCTCATTTGGTTGAATCACTCTATAGATGCTTTGATTTGTCCCGATGTATTCCTACATTGGATGCGGGTGGCGCTGGGGGTTAAACCACAGAGCCTAGGACTTGCCGATCGGAAGGTCGGTGGTTCGAATCCCCACGACGGGGTGAGCTCCCGTTGTTCGGTCCCTACTCCTGCCAACCTAGCAGTTCGAAAGCACGTCAAAGTGCAAGTAGATAAATAGGTACCGCTCTGGCAGGAAGGTAAATGGGGTTTCTGTGCGCTGCTCTGGTTTGCCAGAAGCAGCTTAGTCATGCTGGCCACATGACCCGGAAGCTGTACACCAGCTCCCTCGGCCAATAAAGCAAGATGAGCGCCGCAACCCCAGAGTCGGTCACGACGACCTAATGGTCAGGAGTCCCTTTACCTTTACCTATTCCTACACTAGGGAAGGGGACCTCAGTCCTGGAACCTAAATGTGGTGCTCCAGGCCACCCTATGGAGTTTTGAGACTTTCAGACCACACCTCTCATTTCCCCTGCACCACATCCATCTCTAGAACTTTTGCATGGCTGGGATGTATCCTTGAAATGTATAAATGCCTGTTGCTTGACTGGATCTAGAGGTACACATGTAGTGATCCCTGACTTTTGCATGGTTGGACTGCAGTCTACTGTACAAAGATAAGCTCATCTGTTGCTCCAGCCACTAGTGGCATGCAACCCCCAAAAGGTTTCCCCCAAAGGCTGGAAAAGGTTTCCCAACCCTGACCTAATTATTCGTTACAAGACGAAACCTCATGGAAATTGTGCAGTGTATATTCTTAGAACACCAGAATAACACAACCAAAAATGTATGATAGAATTAGAAGGGCAGATCTGAGAACCAGGCAAGTGAGGATCCAAGTACATGAATTCTGTAATTGGGACTGTTCTTACCTTCTGTGTTTTGGAGAGAATCCTACTGAAATCAGTGGAACAGTGTGCATAAGATCACAGCCATTATTACACTCTTGCATCATCCTGGGATGAAAGTGATGGTTGTGATGGTCAGTTTATGAACATACACTGCTTCTGAAGCCAATGCTAACCAGGCTTATTGCAGAAAAAAAGAATATGCAATACCAGAAGACCTTTTAGCAATGGCTAATGAAGAAGGAGACTGGCTTGGGCGGTGATCCTTGGTGGGAGGGGTGGGATGTAACAAGTACATAAACATCCCTATGATAGTAAAGGCTAAGAACTAATACTAGGTAGGTGCAAAGGCTTGTGTGTGCTTTGTGGGCATTTTAAATGGCAGACCATATTGCCACCTACCTTTGAAGCTGCCCTCTTTTTTAAAAAAATGCTTGTTAAATGACCTTTTGGCATGTCGAGTGGACACATAAATTTGTGAAAGTTTTTTAATAAACTGTTGATCATCAAATTGACAGTTATTTTAATGCCATCATACCTTTAAAAGTGTATGTAAGGTGTTTCAAGAAGCAGGACATTTGTAGCTGGATCCAGAAAAGTCTTTGGATTTACTTGACGAGGTGAAACCATCTGAAAGCTCTGCCCTGTTGTCCACATAAGGACAGAAAGTGAGGCTTCTAAAATTAAACCAGGCATGTCCATATTAGATACTTCATAATGTATGCCAGTCACAGGAGCTGATGTTTACTGTACTTATATTATTTAAAAGGCTGTGAGGCCTCAACAAAGACAGATCCACTTAGTTTACTAGCCTTGGTCTTGGATCATGAAGTTCCTGGTTGAAATCCAGGAGCACTCAGAAAATGCTGCTTTTTCTACACCTTTTGTCAGTTTCACTTTAAGTACCTGTTGCACACCAGCCTGGAATGCGTTTTGGACTGGAATCAATACTTCTACCCAAACCAGCCTCCAGTGTAGGAAAGTTTTATTATGAAAATGTCCATGTATTTTCTAACAACATGAGGCTAACTCAGGATAGCTCAGTTGGTAAAGCTTGAGACTTAATCTCAGGGTCATGGGTTTGAGCACCACATTGGATGAAAGATTCCTACATTGCAGGGGGTTGGACTAGATTACAGTGGTACCTCAGGTTACAGACGCTTCAGGTTACAGACTCTTCAGGTTACAGACTCTGCTAACCCAGAAATAGTACCTCGGGTTAAGAACTTTGCTTCAGGATGAGAACAGAAATCGCGCAGCGGGAGGCCCCATTAGCTAAAGTGGTACCTCAGGTTAAGAACAGTTTCAGGTTAAGAACGGACCTCCAGAACGAATTAAGTTCTTAACCTGAGGTATCACACTATTCTCATCCCTTCCAGCTCTACAGCTCTATTATTGATTGATTCTGTGAGGCATGTAAAGAGTTAACTGAACTGAATGCAGACTTGCAAGCAGCAAAGAGTCAGTTAAACTGTCAACCAGGTGCTATATTAGGGGAGGTTTCTGGCTTTATATTCAAAACCAAAGGGGGGCTGTTTTAACTGGTCAGTAAGTGGACATTCCGCCTCATCTCATTGGCCCATAACTACAAATCAATCACAGGACAGGATTTCCCTCGGATGGTAGTGATAAAAGGCCAGGTTCAGTACTGGTCAGACGAGAGTAGCTGTTGGAGTGGAACAGTGAGGGTTTAGGGGAGCAACTAGGAGAAGAGGTTTGTTTCTGAAGGGAAGTTGGAGATGTAACCGAGGAACTGGTATCGCCAGGGCAAAGAGCTGAAGGTCTGCTAGGAGGAGAGATAGGTTTTGTGGCTATTGCCAAATGACAGCTGGTTGTTTTGAACAGCAACCCTAAGAAGATTGAAGGGACCCAAGAGTGAAGGACGTGAGTGCCAAGTTGAAGACTACTTGTAAAAGTCTCTGGGTGTAGTGAATTGTGTGTTAACCAGAGAGAGAGAGAGTAATTTGCTAGGGCTTGAATAGAGGAAAAAACTAACCTGGTACACACACACACACGTTTTCCAAATTATTTAAATTTAATACAATTTTTAAAATAATTAGGTTTCCCATTCCTGTTACAAACTTAAGTCCAAATGCTTCCTGATGATGCCACTTCATTCTTTTTTAATCACCTTCTGATCCTTCTATTCATTTTAATCCATTTTCATAGCTGGCTTTTTTTGTTTCCTTACAATCAGCACCTTTGTTGTTTCCCAAACATATAAAAATCCATTTTGTGTGTGTAGACCTTCCAACACTCTGTTCCCAGACCTGGTGTGTAGAGAGAGTTTATTGCCATTGTCCTTTGTCCATAACTACATTCTTAATGGTTATATATGATCCTCAGATAAAGGGTAGTACTGTATAGAAATTTAATAAAGGAACAGTAACCCTATTTAAAGTAACTCAATGAAACCACAGACCTTAGTAAATCCTTTAAATAAACATGACTGCCTATTAAGAATAAGCCTGAATAAGCTTATAATGTCATAGATTTTTTTAAACTTTAAATATACCATGGTATGTTTTGGTCCATACTGCTGCAGGAGGAGGATTGGGCTGAGTGGAATTGTGGAAATGGGTCTGTTGCAGTGATAGGGAATCATCTGCCTACAGCATCTGCACAGAGACCTGCTGTTGTATTGTACTATGTAGCCAAATACAATTATGGTACATTTCTTTAGGATTTATTTCCACTCTCACACTTTTTATGACCATTAACAGTGGCTGATGAATAATAAAAGAAGCACCACCAAACTTAAAACAAGGCAAATCAAGGTAGAAAGCAGTGAAATGGAAACACTTCAACTTAGAGCTTGCAAGGATCCAGCAATTTCCCACAGTGTAAGGCTCCCTGATAGTCAGCTAGCACCCAGTACTAGCCTGGACAAATCTTCTGAAGTGCTAGGTAGTCCATGCAAGGGGTGTATGGAGTATTAGGGGAGGGGTAGTATCTCTGACGCGGTGAACACATTGTGCTCCTTCTGGGGTAGTTTGTCCCACTTTGGTCCCCACCCTGCATTCACCTCTCATCTGTGGTTCCTATAAGCTATTAGCATGTGACAGCAGCCAGACCCTAGGAAACGTCTTTGACTGGATGGCTAAAGCAGGTGAGGGGTAGCCAAGGGTCCCAAACCCTCAGTGAGTTAGGGACTTCTATGCATGCAAAGACAGGCTCCAGCAGATTGTGTGGAAAAGACCAATAGTGGGTATCGTGGCCGAGAAGGCGGTTTCTGCATGTACTGTAAAGGGAAATGAGGGGCAGATGGAGAAGAAGCCAATCTAGAAGGATCCTAAACCTCCACTGCTTTCGGGGAGATCATTGGGAAAAGAAAAGGCTAAGGCGTAAACCCTACACAAATCTGCAGTGGAGTCACTAAAATGGTTTGATGTCACCTTGTATGCCTCCTTACAGCAACTCCTGAAGCCAAGCTGCAGCGAAACATTACTCTCCTTTACTTTGGACCACATCAGCAAGGCTGAGGGGGGATTTGTTGTCTGGACAGCCCAGGACCTCCATACACACTGCCCAGGCTTGGACAATAATGTTAATTTTTGAGTCAGGCCTGTTTTTTTAATTCTTCTTCTTGTTTTGTTGATTCTTTTCCTCCCTCGTTCTCATTTTTCAGGGGGGGGGGGAATGTCCCTTAAGGAACACTCCATGATAGCTCATCAGACGAACATGTGAATGGCTGACATTATGTAATGCTTTGACATTTCGCATTCCCATGGTATTATCCCACCACCACCAATGCAGAATAAGCTGTCAGAGCATGAAATTGGTATTTTTACATATTCTTAATGTACAGATGTCAGTCTGAAAACCATTCACTGGGGTTAAGATTATATTCTTTGTTTCACTCCATTCATATGCGAAAATCTGTTTGAAGGGATTTTTTTAAGGAGAGACAAACCTTAAATAAAGAATTTAAATTAATAGCTCTATCAAAACAGCACAAGGTAACTCTAAGGCATGGTGTGATGAAAGCAAGATAGACCATATCACTCCAAGACTGCAACACTCCCTTTAAGCACCTGTGTTTCTGGCACACTTAGCAGAAAGTCAACGAGAGCCAAATGCAAATTGGAAATATAATCAGTGACCTATTTTCTACTGCCAAATTTATCAGCATGTTCCAAATCAAATCTGCTCACAGTTTACAAGTGTGTTATTCTATGTTGATTGCCATGAAAGAATGCTGTAACCTTAGGGGAGGATTAGTATTTCTAAAAATAAAGTAGCACCAGGGGATGATGGGGTAGTGGGAAAGGAGTAAGAAAATGCTCAATCTAATGATCCTAGTTGTTGAGATGCTACCACAGGCTCTAGTAACCTGCCCAGAAATGGTGCATTCCTCATGATTAGTAAATGACAACAAGACCCACCAAAAGTCAATAAAAGTATATGATGTTATCATTCCTGCATCCATTTATTGATTTTTATTACATTTCTATACAGCCCTTTATCCAAGGATCACATGGTGGTTTACAATATAAAAATACAAAAATACATAATATCGTAACAAGCAAAAACTATATTCCCCATCCAATAGAAATACACATTTTAGAAGGTCATATACTGTTTAGTTGGCCAAAAGCCTGGAATAAAGAGAACATTTTTGCCTGGCACATAAAGATATGTAATGAAGGTGACAGGCGAACCTCCTTGGGGAAAGCATTCCACAAGCAGGGAGCCACTGCAGAAAAAGCCCGCTCTCATGTTGCCACCCTCTAGACATCTCATAGAGGACGCACATGAAGAAGGGCCTCAGATGATGATTGCAGGGTCTGGATCACTGCAAATGGGGAGAGGCAGACCTTGAGGTATTGCAGTCCTGAACCATTTAAAGCTGGGGTAACCCAGTTAGATGGGTGGTGAAATATACTCAGAGTCGCAAAGTGATTTCATGCTCTTTATTCAGCTCATAGTGGTGAGGAGGAATGAATGAATGTCCCCTCAAAGTATCTGCTTTATATACATTATTTACACAATGGGCTGCACATGATTGGCTAATTCCGGAATTCTACTGTAAGCCAATCAGGTTGTGGAGTCGCTTCTATCTGGAGAATTATTGGGTGGTTCCTGCCAACCAATCATACTACTGCATTGTTCTAGGACCAATCAGACTGCTGCATTCTGAATCCTATTGTTCTAGGACCAATCAGACTGCTGCATTTTGGATCCTATTGTTCTAGGACCAATCAGACTGCTGCAGTTTGGCTCCTATTCAACTCAGTACATAACAGGTGGGCTACAAATAATAAAATTATTATTAATATTTATAGGTCAAAACCAGCCCTTCATAATCTATGATGGCTTCTGTTTGGGCAGCAAAAGTCCTTGCATCTGCCCTAAAGATTAGATTTGCTCTTCTGCTGTTTTTTATGTTTAAAACACAGTATGCTTGAAGCGCAGTCAGGGAGCCCCTAACTGGCACTGTGGACAGCTTGCTGACAATCACCTGAATCAAGGGCTACTGAAAGGCTGGAGTCAGGGAAACCCAAGTGGCTTCTGCTGCACCTGCATTCCAAGAAAGATCAGGACCAAGGCGGCGGGGGGGGGGGATAAGTCCTCCTGCAGTGAGGAGCTCCCACTGAGGATGCAATTCTTGGAATTCTCCCTGTTCTGATTGTATCATGTTGACCAACGTTAAGTGACTGTGCTGGAAAGACCACCACATTTTTAACTTCTCTCTCTTGTTGCAAATTTTCACCACTTTGCTACCTTCTCCTTCCTCCTAGATGTGTGACTTGCTTTTTTGAATGACCCCTTAGCGGAGGATTTTGTTAACATGCTTGCACTTGGGGGCTCTGGAGACTTCTACTTGGATCAACAAGAAACATTGATTCTAACATGTTCCAGAGGATTTGTGACATTCTCAGCGTGTGTGAAACTCAAATCACCCCCCACAGGCCCACCGTCTGATGACATGTGGAAAGCTTTCCTCGCTATTTGTCCTTGGAAATGTGTAAGTACAGAAGTTAATCCTTCTTGGGATAAATCTCATTTATGTGTTTGTCTCCTCGGCAAGGTTTATCCTACTTCATTAAGTTTTGGCATCTCAAAGGGCAACAGCTGCACCGTCACACTGCCACCGCTTTA